GGGGCTTTGGGAGAAAGCTGTAATTTTATTTTCTCTGCTGCCCTCGTTTGCCCCGCCCTGACTGCACCGCTTTCTGTCTTGAAGGGTTGGTCCGCCCGAGGCGAGTAGCTAGAGCATTTCCAGGCTGAAGAACGGTGGCACGAAGATTTCCAAGAAAGGGAGACGACGTATGGTTTTAAAGCTGCCTCTGAGCATCCCTGGGTACCGAGCCCCATCCCCCGAATTGCCATGGAGAGTAACAGCCGGATTTAGAGCCTTTAATACTCCATCTTGTTTTGTTAACCACAGTTTACCAGGCCACTTGTTTAGGAAGCCCAAAGTGAGATAGATGTTTGAACTTGATGCTCATCTTTACCAGTATTGTCACCATATGGAGACAGGCAAAATCAGGGCAGGGGTTCCCAGGGAGGAACGTCAGTGGCAAAAGAAAAATGCGTGCTGTTTTGGTAGACAGCAAAGTTTTCTGTAGTGGGCGGTGGAGGGCCTGCCAAAATGTCCCCACCCTCCCTTGCAGGAGCTAATCCCAAGGCCTGTTTATTCAACTGGCTGTATCTTCCTGGTTCCAGGATCCCAGGACAGCTGGGCTCCTTCTACGGTGTTCCCACCAGATGCTCCTTTGGGTTCGGTTTTCAAACGTACTTACTTAGATGGGATCTGTTGTCTTAGACAAAGGTGAATTGTTAATATCAACGGTATGAATCAAAACTACTCAAGAGTTAGATGACTCCCAACATCTTAGATCAGCCTATTGTTCCTACTTATTAATGAACATCTGCCCATTGTTCTTCTATTGCTCTGAAGGCACATGCTGTAGTCTGAATTTTTTAAAGTTTAAATTATCATACAAAGTAATAGGTTTCATTGCTCAACTTTCTGTGTCTTTCCCCCTGAAATCCCAATCCTCAAAGTGACCTTATGAGGTGTTTAGGTTATGAGGGTGGAGCCCTCCCAAATAAGATCAGTACCCTTACATAAGGAGCGGGCTAGAGACCAGACCCATACTTCTCCCATCATGAGGCTCCAAAGAGAAGGCTGTATCTATAAGCCCCAAAGTGAGTACTAGTCAGACTCTGAATCTACTGGTTCCTTGATAGGTGGCTTTTCCATCCTTTAAGCCACAAACAACACATTTCTGTTGTTAATAAGTTACTCGGTGTATGGTGCTTTGTTACAGCACCCTGAAGGGGCAAGGTGGTACCTCCATGTCTCACTTCCTACATTGACTGTAGTTTCATTTTGTCACATGTCCTTAGAAATACTGGAAAAGAATGTATCCCATGGGTAAAGATTGTTCCTGCTCCCAGGAACCTTACTGTATTGCTAGAGAGAGCCCCAGAGGCCTAAGAAGAAATTAGAAAAAAAAAAAAGAATTAACTGGGCATCCAAGAAGTCTATTTTTTCCTATTTGGTTGCTTTTCCAGAGCCTGTGCCCTCTAGAACAGGGTTGGGGTAACAGTGCAAGGAGGGTACCCATAGGGCTGTGCAATTGCTCCCTTCCAGACTGGCTCTGAGCTCATGGCATCATCGGGTTCTTTAGAACTTACTGTGGGGGCCACACAGACCTTCCAGCGCACTTAGAAAAGTGGAAATCTAAGTGTCAAAGGCTAAAATGGAGTGCCTAGGCTAAGGTGAGGCAGAACATTAAGAATTTTAACCTTAGCCGTAGCATTTACTATTTTTGTTTGTTCTAGTTTCTTTTTATTTGTTTTTTAGATAGGGCTCATACAGTCAAGGCTAGTTTGGAATTCTTGATTCTCCTGCCTCCACTTTCTAAGTGCGGATCACAGACTTGTGCCACCATGCCCAGCAGCACTGCATGTCCTTCAGAGAGATGCCATGAAGCAAAAGTGCACTCACCAGGACCAAGCTCCTTGTGGTTTTCACAGGGGAATCATGCCAGCCACAGGGCATCTAGGAGCTGAGGTCCAGACAGCAGGAATAGTGTCTTGCCTTCGTCTTCACAGGCAGCTCAAACTGGATCAAGGACGACTCAGGGTTTGTCTGGCTTTCTGGGGTATATAGTTCACCCTGAGATTGGTTGTGGGTTCCCTGAAAATTGAACTGAAGTTGAGATTTGAGATGGATGAGGCCTGAGGCTCAGTCTTAGCCCGGTACTGCCTGCAGTGGTGACAGCCCAGCCTGTTTCTGGTGTTTCTTCAGTTAAGCTATCCAGGTGTGGTCTGCAAATAAATACAGACCCAGGAAGGTATGGTGGATAGGTTTTCCAGAACCAGACACAGCCCTTCATTTCTCCTTCTCTCCTTTTTCTTTGGCACTTCGTGGGTACCCAGGGAATGCTCTAAAGTCATGGAAGCAAAACAGAGTGTGTTGAGCTTCCCTAGAGAGTGGCTGGGAGCAGATGGCAGGAAGTCATAGAGGCAGCCGGAGCCCTCCTGATCTCTGAATGGTCCCCATACATTACCTCTTCCAGGGAGCTCAAGACTGCTTTTTTTTTTTTTGTAATTTGAGAGGTCTTGCCATGTAGTTCTGGCTGGCCCAGAACTCAAAATGTAGATCCAGCCAGCCTCAAACTTGCAGTGATCCTCCAGCTTCTGCTCCTGAGTGCTCTTGGTATGACAGGTATGCATTATCACACTTGGGCTTTTCCAGAGACCTCAGTTGCTAGACTGGTTACCTCTGCATCTTCTTTTGTGACATGTGTGGAGACAGGCCAGTTAGGGTCCTTGTTCTCTTCTGAGGGGGTCATCTAGCACTCACAGGTGCTAGATGGGCAGAAGCAGTCTATGTAGCATGTAGAAGATTTAGCCAAGGTTAGACGAGACTTTTCCCTGCTCTTGCATCTGGCCTGTGTGTGGCCAAGGCCTTAATGGAAGAGGATCCTGCAGTGACTGTCTCAGCAGCCCTAATAGGGTGACTACATTTGGAATGGCTTTCAGGAACATCTGTTTGCTTCTATGATGGTAGCAAAGGACAGAGTCTTTATGTCATCAACAAGGAAAGGAGACCACAGAGAGCACACAAGAGAAGAGCAGCACCCCAGCTTCTTTCTCAATCCATTCCAAGTACAAGCTCCTATCTGTAAATTCAGAGCCACCAGAAGATCCCCTATAGTCCACTGGGGGTCACTGGAGAAGGCATAAGAGTGGTCAGTGGTGAATACCCGTGGCCTGACCCCTGTTGCTTGCTGGAGTAATTTCCTGGGACTATAAGCATTCTCACCACCGGGGCTCCCTTTCCTGGGCTTATTAAGAAGCTGCCCCAGAGCACACAGCCCACTTCCCCAGATCCATGGTCTCAGGTCCAAGGGGAGGTTGGTCCCTAGACTGGTGGAGGGCCAGGGATCAGGGGCTGGGTTCCTGGGGCAGCTGGGCTGCATACAGGGCCAAAGTGTGGTGCAGGAACTGGTACTGCTCTGCAGTCTGGATCATGCCTCCTCTGTAAGCAGAAACACAGGGTGAGGAAGAGCCGGGGATACCTGCCCTGGGCCTGTGGTTAAGCATTCCCTATCATCCTCCTGCTGGGAAAGCCCTGACTCTCTCCTCCCCATATAGTCAACCTTTCCACTTTACTGCCCCCTCCCAGGGTAGCCCCAAGGAGGGAGGTGCAGGGGGCAGTGCCCCATCTGGACTCTGTCCCTTATCCACCCAGCTTTTGAGCAAAATCAGACCTGATTTCTCAGTTTGGGTCAAGAATGTGTTCCCATGCTCATTTTTTCCACTTGTCAATAAAAACAGTTAACTCAGGGCTGGAGAAGTGGCTCAGTGGTTAAGAGCACTGGCTGCTCTTCCACAGGACCCAGGTTCAATTCCCAGCACCCACATAGTGGCTCTTAACTGTCTGTAACTCCAGTTCCAGGGCATCTGACACCTTCACATGAATGTACATAAAATGAATTTAAATAAATAAAGAGTTAACCCCACATGTGTACAGCAGGTCCCATTTCTAGAACACTCACAGAAATGAGCCCATTTCTTCTTCCAGTTGGGGAAATAGACATTACCTCTCTAGATAAAAATGGAGGCACTAAGTGTGGTGGCACACACCTTTAATCCCAGCACTTGGGAGGTGGAGGTGGGCTGATCTCTGTGAGTTCCAGGCCAGGCTAGTCTACATAGTGAGCTCCAGGCTACCAAGGAATACATAGAGACTCTGACTCAAACAAAGTGTGTGTGTGTGTGTGTGTGTGTGTGTGTGTGTGTGTTGGGTGGGGGGTAGAACTATGGTAACAGCTAGTGGCTCACACACACCAGAGTCTGAACCTGCTTCTCCTCCTCCAAGCCCAGTGAGTATCATAGCTACCTTGTATCTAGAACAAGTTGTATCTTTTTAGAAAATAAATCAACACAGGATTTCCCCGTGTAGCAGCTCACGCTGGCCTTGAGCTAACCAAGTAGCCCACACTAGCTTTGAACTCCCTTTCACCTGGCTAAGCTTCCTGAGTGCTGGGATTACAGACATGCTGTATCATACTTCTCCATGACTGTGTCTTGTTTCCCAGCTTTCCCCTGAGTAGAGAATTTGGGGGGGGGGCATTGAGGGAAAATTCAGGGTGACATGTTTAACTCCAGGTTCCCAAGCTAACATTTCAGATGATCTTTCATGCAGGCTTAGTTATTGGCAAAATAGAAAGCTTTTTAAATAAAATGGGTCCCTGGCTTTCTTCTAGGAGGGCCTGAAGGCGATGTGCCCAGAGTCTCAGAACCACCAATGCCATTGCCAGTTAACACGGCTGCACCTGCTTCCTACAGACCCACCTGTCTAGACGCAACCGGCACACGATGCCTAGGACGTCCACCTCCCCTCGGGCCTTCAGCTGCTGGCAGCCGATGTGGGTGGCGATGAAGCAGCCCGTCCGGCCAATCCCTGCACTGGATGCAACCAGAGAGAGGACAGGCATGTCACAGGAGACCAGGGAACAGTCCAGGGACCACAGGAGACAGGTGAGCAAGGAAGGTTGGGGGTAGGGTTCCAACAATGAAAGAAGACATGGGGCAGAACTCTCAAACCTCCAACCTTGGCATCCATGGCAACCCTGATGGAGGCAGTTAATAACTCATCCTGGACAGGTTTGTGAGCCTTACTAGCCTCACGCTAGGCATATCCCAGCTCATCATTTGCCTTCTGGTTCCTATGGACTTTAATTAATTAATTTGTTCTTGTTTTTTTTTTTTTAAAGATTTTATTTGTTTATTTATTATGTATACAACACTCTGCTTCCATGCATATCTGCACACCAGGAGAGGACACCAGATCTCATAACGGATGGCTGTAAGCCACCATGTGGTTGCTGGGAATTGAACTCAGGACCTCTGGAAGAACAGTCAGTGCTCTTAACCTCTGAGCCATCTCTCCAGCCCCCTTGTTTTTGTTTTTTTGAGACAAGATCTTACTATGTAGCTCTGGCTGTCCTGGGATTTACTATGTAGACCAGGCTGACCTTGAACACACAAAGATCAACCAGCATCTGCTTTCTGAGTGCTGGGATTAAAGGCGTGTGTCACTATGACTGGCTCTATGAACTTTAAAAATTGATTTTTTTTTCAGATAGAGGCTCATGAGCCCTGCTAGCCTGGAACTTGCTACATAGTCCTGATCTCCCCACTCCCACCTCTTAAATGTGGGGATTACATGTGTACATACCTATTGCCCAGATTTTAGTGTTTTTTTTGTTTTGTTTTGTTTTTTGAGATAGAGTTTTACTTTGCCTGGAACTTACTATATGGCCCAGACTCCCTGTAACCCTCCTGAGTCCTGGGCTTACAGAAGGGTGCCACCATACCCAGTCTTTTTTTTTTTTTTTTCCCCTCCAGGTTTTCAGGTTTTGTTGTTATCTGTTTGAGACAGAGTCTCTCTATGTAACCCTTGATGACTTGGGTTAGATCAGGCTGGCCTCAAACGCACAGATATCTGTCTGCCTCTGCTTCCCAAGTACTGTGATTAAAGGCTAGGTCTGTTCTTTACACAGGTTTTTTTTTTTTTTAAAAAAAAAAAAACAAACATTATTTTATTTACTTTAATTTCTGTGTGGTGTGTGCGTGTGCACACGTGTGCCATCGTGCCTGTAGGAAGGTTATAAGGCAACCTTTACGAATCAGTTCTCTCCTTAGACCATGTAGATCCCAGAGATTGAACCCAGGCTGCCAGGCTTGGCTGCAGGCGCCTCTACCCACTGAGGCGCCTTGTTGCCCGGTTTTTCTTTTTCTTCTCAATAACGGCGGCGTCTAGCCAGGTAGCCCAGATGGACCTTAGACTGGCAGTCTCACTGCTGCAGCCTGGAGGGGTGCACTGCCACGCCCTCCTCCAGTGCATGTTTTGATGACTGTGTGTGTGTTTTATGGTTTATGCCTGTGCACTGGCTGTCCCTCGAGCATTCCTTGTCTGACCACAAGCTCCTCCCAGCTTCAGACCAGCTTCCACAGATGCTCTTGGGCCTCCGTCCTCTTCCGTTGCCCTCTTCTTGGCTCTATCACCTTGAGATTTTGTTCTCTCTTCCCTCACACCTTGCCCTTTCTTGCTTTCACTGCCCCTTAGATAAGCCTCACATGTGTTTCTAATAGAACTCACCCGAGACTCACAGCACTTCCGTCTGTCTGTGCGCCGCCACCTCTCTCTGAAGGGTTCTGGCACACCTTGCTTGTACTTTTTGTCTCTTCCTTCTTCCTCCTCTCCCCTCTCAACATGGTGTCATGTAGCCCAGGCTGGCCTTGAACTCCCTACATAGTTTAGAGTGGCTTTGAACTCCCAATCCTCCTGTCTCTACCATATGCTCAGGGAATAAGCTGAAAAATGTTTTCACTGCTAGGAGCAGGGTCAGAGGCTGAGCGTGGAGCTCATATGTGGGGACACTGGAGGGAAACCGGTCTTGAAGGTAGGTAAGGCCTTCACGAAGGGGCCTTGTGGAATTGGCTAAGACACCTAGATTTGCTAGTTTGTTTTATTTTTTGTTGATGCTGGGGAATTGAATCCAACACCCCAGATTTACCATTTAAAAATAATGCTTGGGGTTGGGCACAAACAACAACAACAAATCCAACAAAACCAAAAATAGGGCTGGAGAGATGGTTCAGAGGTTAAGAGCACTGACTGCTCTTCCAGAGGTCCTGAGTTCAATTCCCAGCAACCACATGGTGACTCACAACCATCCGTTATGAGATCTGGTGCCCTCTTCTCGTGTGCAGATATACATGGAAGCAGAATGTTGTATACATAATAAATAAATAAAATCTTTAAAAAAAAGCAAAAATAGTAGTGTAGCGGTGGCACAAGCCTTTAATCCCAGCACTAGGAGGAAGAGGCAGGAGGATCTCTGTGAGTTCCAAGCCAGCCTGGTCTACAGTGTGAGTTCCAGGACAGGCTCCAAAGCTACAGAGAAACCCTGTCTCAAAAATCCAAAACCAAAACCAACCAACTAAACAAACAAAAACCTAAAACAAAACCCACAAACGCTAAAAGACCCCAAGCAAACAAAACAGTGTCCCATGAGCCAGTGAACTCCCCAACAGTGGAGGCCATGTTTATTTCTTCTCTACCTGACTAGAGACGTCCCACAAGCCAGGGCTCGGTAGAAAAGAGGCAATGATACAGAATCTCTTGGATTGGACTTTCCTGTCCAGGTCAGGGTTGGGTCTGTCGTGTGATATTACTTGGACACCTCCCCATAAGAGACCTAGTGGCCAGGGAAGGCAACTGACCTAGTGGTCAGTTCTAGGCTGGGGCTGGGGACACCCTACCTGCAGTGGACCACGATAGGCCCAGAGTTGGCCGCTGTCTCTGGGCTCTCCACCTCTGCCACCAGGCGGAGCAGGGGCCCAGCCGATTCTGGAGTCTGGTGGTCTGGCCAGGCGGAGAAGAGTATGTGTTTTACTGAGCGGCATTCCTCTTGGTGCTAGGGTATGAAAATAAGGCATGAGAACCCGGATGTGGGCGTGGCTGCTGCCTACTCCTGGTGCCTACAAGTTGAGTACCATACATGGACTCAGAGCGGGCAAAGCTTTTTCTCCGGCTGATTTGCTGTTCATCTTCTACCTGATCCACTCCAAAATTCAAGGAAGGAGAGTGTTTTGTGAGAGGGAAAGACCCAGGCTCAAGTCTTGACTCTGTCTCTATCGCACAAGCATGGGTAAGTACATTGATCTCATTTTCTTCCCTAGTAAGCTGGCACAATGATATTGTTTTGGTTTACTTCCCAGGATGCTTAGGAAACAATGAATTGACACAAAAACAATTTGAAACTGTAAGAATGTGTACAGTAACAGAAAGCCCTTCCTCTCTCCCTTCCTCCCTCCCTGCTTCCTTCCTGGCTTCCTTCCATCCCTCCCTCCCTTCAATCTAGATGGGAGTCTTGCTATGTTGTTCCAGTCAGTTCCCTCCTCCCAATGTGTGGATTCCAGGGATGGAACTCAGGTCTTCAGGCTTGACAGCAAGAAACTTTACCCACTGAACAATCTTTCTGGCCCCTAGAAAGCGTTTGTTTGTTTGTTTTGTTTTGTTTTTTCAGTGCATCCACGCATGTTGGCACATCTCTTTTGATCTCTCCTTACTCTTCCAGCATTCTCCTGGGTCTCTCCTCTCTCCTGGGGAGGAGGTGCTTCCTAGTGGTCCCTATTTTTTTTGTGTGCATCGATATTAAATTAGAGATGCCCCTGAGGGTTTTACCCATTTCTTTTTCTTTTATGGTACCTCTTTTAAATGTAGGAGGGAGCAAGGCTTAAGTTTGTAAACTTGGCCCTTAGTGAAGGTGGAGCCCGAGTTCCAGAGATGCTAGAGTGGCCCAAACCTCCCACTGGCTGTTTCAGGGGATGGTACCTGGATGGTAAGCTGCCTCACAGTATATTCTGGGTGTTCTTTCATTTCCTGGATGCGGATCTGGAATGGCCCATAGGTTTCCTCTTCTGTGGGCCAGTAATGTACACATTTCTAGAAGGGAGGGATCTGGGAGTCAAAGTGGGAAGGTCCATCGGTGGAGCAAGGGTAGGGCAGCAGAGAGAGGCCTAGTGTCCCTGCCTCCTGTCTCACTCGGTGACCCATGTCAATGCCTGGAGTCTGGCTCTCCCAAGCTTAAACTTTATAGCGTCACCCCACCTCCCACATTTGGGGTGCATGTATCTCAAGAATCTTTCCCGGAGATATGACCTGGGGCTTGTCAGTGTTGTCAGCGACCATCGAGGCTTGTGGTCTGCTCTGCATGGGTGGTGTGAGAGGTAGGGCACAGCCCTTTCTGGGTGACCCTGCCTCCTTCCTACCTCTTTGCCCTCTCGGAGCTGGGTGAGCATGACAATGAGGCCCACTCCTTCTTGCCACACCATCTCCCAGAAGTCTGCTACTGTGTTTGGCATGGGGCCCTGGGTGGCAATGTAGACCTTCTCTTGCCCATCATAGCCCTGGGAAGACAAAGCACAGAAGGACAGAGGTGTTGTGAATTCACACTCCACTGGTGCTGGGGTCAGGCTAAAGCCAGTGAGCATGAGCACTTAGACTAACATACAGGCACACACACCAGAAGCTACATGTTGGAAGAAGACATGGACACCATGATGAGAAACATCTGGTTTAAATTCCTGGCCCGCTGTTTCCTAGCTATGTGGCTCTGTGGGACTCTGTTTCCCGACCTATATAGACTGGACCTAGTGATTACCTCATAACATAATGTGAATTAAACTCAACAAAGTGTATTGGCAGTCTCTCACACGACAGGTGATTTATACGTGTTTATTCCTGTCTTCTGCTGCTTTCTTCGGGTACAAGTATAATAGTCCTCAATATTTGAAAACGAACATTTCATATTCCATGAATCACTTTTATATATTTGGCACCTAAATCCAGCATACTCTTCCTAATATGTTCTCCCCTCTTCCAACATCCTTCCAGCATCCATGCATCCCTCTGTGTGCCTGGTTCCTGCTGTCTACTATGCTTTCTGGCTGACAGCTTTGCCTCTCAGCACCCTAATCTACTGTCATGTCACATTTGGCCACAAGGGGCACTGCTTTTACATCCACCTACCACAACCAGGTGAGAAGTTGGGCTAGAAGGACCATCTTGCTTTGAGGGTGCAATTAGCTAGATATCAGTCTCTACAAAGGAGGTACTACTTGGTACAGGGTTCGGGGTCGGGGAGAGAATGAGTACAGGAGGGGAGATGACAGGGACATAGATTCTCTCTTGTGCCGGCTTTGTGCAGGTTTTAGGAGCCAACTAGCCTTGAAGAAACTAGTGACTAGGCACAGCCATGTCAACTTACTGCCATGTTTAGAGGGTTGTCGTGAATAGGATAACAGCCAAGGTTAAGGTGGTTTGGAAATTTTTTAAAAACATTTTTTTAGTAATTTATCTATTTTATTTTATATACATTGGTATTTTGCCTGCAAGTATGTCTGTATGGGGAATCAGATCCCCTGGGAGAGGAGTTAGACAGCTACGAGCTGCCATGTGGGTGCTGGGAATTGAACCTGGGTCCTCTGGGTACTCTTAACCACTGAGCCATCTCCCCAGCCCCAGTGGTTTGGAAATTTTAACATCTTTTCTAGGTTGACTTAGGGGTTGTTCAGTGTGTCGTCTCCCCACCCCCTCAGTCTGGCAGAGAGAACTATGGTAGGAAGGAGCGAGGAGGAAAATACAGGGCCCTGAGGCCACATCACAGCTGGATGGTGTCGTGTGGCATTTTCATTTTTAAAAGCAGTCCTGCCCCAATGGCTGCAGCAGCCAGGCACTCACTCGGATGTAGTTGGCATTGATGTAGTCACCGTCTTCCTGGCTCTGTGCCCGGCCAAGACAGACACGGCTCTGGGGATCTAGGAAGTGAAGATCAATAAAGGTGAAAGGTCAGGAGGCGCCAACAAATACAGATTCTAATAGAGTCAGAGGGAAGAGTGTTCCCACACTGTTCACAATGCTTTGTGGACAACAGGCATTCACTTGAATTATTTTATAGACAGGTAACACAATACCTACATATTATAAAATATAATATTTCATGATGATAGGGATCCACAATGCTATTGGGCAGGAAAGTGATATAATCAAAGGGCGAAATATTAACTGAATGATGCTGTTTAGGACAGACCACAGCTACAGAGACCAATTGGGATATTGTCATATTTTAGCCTTGAGATCAGCAAGGGTATGAAATGGGAGGGAACTGATAGGAATAGGAAGAGATTCCGCAGAGGAAGAACCTTTTCCTGATTATGAATACAAGCTTCAGATGAATACATTGTCTAAGATATCACTCAACCATGAGGGACATTGGGCTCTCTCTCCAAAGGTGTAGGTCTTTTCCCAGTCAAACCGGATGAGGGATGAAGGAGCTGGCTTCCCCTCTTTGGTGGTTGTAGAGCTCGCTAGAATTAGGCCAAGGCCAAAGGCTGACAAACTCACTTTGATGAGTGTTCTCAGAGCCTTGGGCTCTTCAGGCAGGCCGTGAGTCTGGAGGCTCAGCCCAGGGCAGGACCCATGTGCTGGGCTGAATTCAGACCACAGTTTAGGAAGCCACTGTAGTAGTCTCCAGGACTCAAGTCTCTGAAAAGCAGGGCGTGCAAGGCCTGGGTCTGTCTGTGTGAATTCACCTCTACCACACAGGCCCACAGTAAACTTCTGCAAATGCTATCTTGTAACCACTGTCTATCTCCTAGTTGCCAGGGTGGTGTTAGTATTTCTCTGTTGAAAGACGATGTCTCAAGCATTGTTGTTCCTCCTTGGCTGAGGTGAGTTTTTTTTTTTTAATTTTTATTTTATTTATTTTTGTCAAGACCTCATATAAACCAAGCTAGCCTAGAACTTGCTATATGGCGAAGACTGGCCTTGTGTTCCTGATCCTCTACTTGTGCCTCCAAGTGCGAGGGTTATTAGAGGCCTGCACCAGTATGCCTAGCTTCAGAGTTCTCCACCCACAAGGACACCACCCCTTCACCCCCGCTGTGGTCCTTACTTGGCAAGATGGTCTTGTATCGGTCCTTGGAAGCATGGCCAGGGATATCCAGGTCTTCAGGGGTGACAAAGTTTGAGGGGATCTTCTAGTGAGAGGAGTAAGTGAGTTAACATCTGGCCCCCTTCTCACCCTCCCTTTCTCCCTTTCCACCCTCTGCACACAGAGCAAGGATGGGGACAACCTTCTCTCCTGATCCCTGGAGTTGTTCCCTAAGGACCACAAAGAGAAGAGAGGCCCAAGGAATCCATGATGGTCTGATATAGAAGGGGACCCCAACTTCTTACCAAGAATTCCTCCTCCAGTTGCTTGGGGCTGGGTGGCTGGTGCTGTAGACCCCAGCATGTAAGGGGGTGTCCGGCTGTGCGCAGAAAGTGTATGGTGACCTCCCTGGGTGTGTTCACTGAGCAGATGGGTTCCACAGTGCCCAAAGACCGCACATCCAGCATCAGAGCCACACTGGAGCCCCTTCTGCAAGCACAGCCATCCAGTGCCCAGTGAACATCCTGGGTCATTGGCTTGCCACAGAGCTTGTCTTAGGAGGCCACAATTAGTCTTTCTCTTGACCTAGAGGCTCAGGGCACTCAGGGGTCAGGTCCTTACGACGTTCCCCTTTCCTTTTATCAGATAGAATGGAGTAGGCTGCAGCTCTTATGCCTCTTCCTACTGCCTACCTCTTCTACTCCCAGGCTGGCACAGAGGCTCCAAACCAATGCTGTGAAGGCCCCTGGACTTGTCCCAGAGATCACTCATCACAACTTGAGACTTTGGGACATGAAACTTGGTGCCTCAAGCAACATGCAAATGAACACTGTTAGTTTTCCTTCTAGGCCTTGAGGACTCTGTTGTTAGGACAGGAAGGCTGGGTATGAGGAAGGAAAGAAAGCAACCCAGGTCTAGGAAGACTTTCTCTGTGAGAGACCTCACCTCTCCTGCAGCCGCACATGCTTCTTGGCTGGAGCTTTGGTGGGTGGAGGTTGGGTCATGGCTTCCCCCAAAGACAAGGTCGGTGGCTGTGGTCTGGAACACCCCTCACAGGTCTGGACCATGCTGGGCTAGATTGCTGGGCTCAAGGAAGGCTCACTCAGCCATGAGGCCTGCCTGAAAGACAAGGCCCTATATTTGCTGGCCTCTGACTTGCCTCACTGGCTAGAAGGAGCTCCTAAGCCCAGGCCAGCCATCCTATTGGTTTTTACTGGAGGCATCTTCTCTTCCCAAGGAAGTGGCCTAACTTTTTTTTTTTTTTATCCTGTAAGTACAGGAGCTCTTCGTTGGGATGCAGGACAGGGGACAATCTGGAGTTAGAGGAGGAGGGAGATATAGAGTGTAGGTATGAGTAGAGACAGGAAATAATCCGGAAGGAGGAAGAGAGTGGTTACCCAAGTCCACAGGGCTCCAAGCTGGCGTCCAAATGAGAACAACAGACTGCCGACCACACAGAAGGAAGGGAGAAAGCCCACAGCGTTCTCAGTCTGCCAACAGGCTTCTCCAGAATGAGAAACTGAGGCCTCTAGTAGCGTTGGAACCAGTTGGGGACCCAGGCAGGCCACACTTCTGGTAGGGTCATTTCCTAATTGCTGGCAGCTCTACCCTAAGATCACTTGTGGCTTCTGGGGTCTCTATCCAGGGTAGTATGCTAGGGGTGTTTCCTTCCTCCTCCGTCCCATCCCCCAGTCTCCCGCCTCTGTAACCGTCACAGGAAATGGCCTCGCCAAGCCTTAGAGCGCCAGCGCATGGTGAGGCTACAGCTGGGGGTACAAGAGAGAGAGAGAGGGGGCACAGAGGTGACGAGGGCATCTCCTTTGGGGGCAGTCCCTGTCACCTAGAACTAAGTCACAGGTGCTGTGGTGGTGGTGTTAAAGCTGCTAACCTACAGGGACAGAGGCCTGGAACAGTGTGGGCCCATGCAGGTGTGGCGGGGACAGCACTCTCCTGTGACAGGAATAGGCCTTTTGCTCCTCTTCTCCAGGCATTCTGTATGGCTCTTCTGTCCTCCAGCCACAGGGACACCAAATATGCCACTACTCATGCCTGGCCAGACATGGTAGCCCCAAACTCATGCTCCCTCACTCCATCCTCAGAGACACCCTCCTGTTTCCAAGGCTTCCCCACCCCAGGGCCTTAGTATGCCTGTGCCCACTTCAAGTACTTACTGAAGCAGCTGTGTCCCCCAGGCTGCCTCTTGCCAGCTGTCTGTCAGTCCGTCTATCTTTGAGGACTGAGAGGCTTCAGGAAGCCAGCTTCCTCCCTCCGCCCCTCCTGGCTTCCACCCACGCACACCCAGCTGCAGGCTGCCCTCCTGCGCCTGCTGCAGCTGCCACCAGGGGTCGGGTGCATCCTCCCTGTGCCCTCTGAGAGCAAGCTGGTGGTGCCGTGCCATCCGTGCTGGGTGCAAAGGCTCTGGGAGTGGACAAGGGATGAAGCTTTCCCTGACCACTCCAGGTCTGTACCTCCAGGTTCTTTATCATGCCTCCCTCTATCTCCTTGCTAAGAAGATAACCATAGGGAACCTTCAGTTCCTCTGGTTGAGCCCTTGGCTAGAGACTTATTTTCATGTCTCAACTTCTGCCCCTGTAAGCCCTTGCAGCTTCAAAGCCTGGCAATTCATGGCCAAGCCCAGGCCATAGTAGATGGGCTGCAGAGTTACAGTGGGGGAAAGAGGACTCCTTGTTCTATACAGGAAGGAGGAGCCCAGAGCTAAGAAGGGAGGGTCTCCTCCAGGCTCTGAGTCCCTCAGCCTGCAGGCACAGGCTAGTTGCTGGCGAACAGATAGTAGAGCTAAACTGAAGAAGAATCTGGGGTTGTTTTCTAGGAACCCCTCAGACTGCCCCTTGGGGAGTGTCTCAGAACCCTGCATCTATCTCCTTAGAAGACTTACAGAGATAGTTGAAGGCTGTGGCCCTCACATCAGGGACTTCCAGTGTCCTCTTCACCACTGCACCACTTGGATGCTTGGGATGTGGGGAGGGAGCAGACCCCAAGTCTAAGGCTCCACAGTCCCCGCCACCCTGTCTGGCTTTGGCAGGCCCCTTGCTGGCCCAACTGGCTCAAGGTTCATGTGTGCTTGCAAGACTTTTTTTTTTTTTTTTAAACTCTGTAATGTTCCCAACACCCTTCCTGGCCTCCGGAGCTCGCATTCCCTATCCTCTCTCTCCCTCCTACTTCTCTGATTCAACTGTCAAATGGTGACACCAAAAAAGAAATTCTGTACAGTAGGCACAGGGGTGGCACCTGAGAGGCGGTGGGAGGAGGGGCTGGCCTTCTTCTGGCCCGTGGGGAGGAGGTGAGGACCAGGCATGACCTTTTGAGATCAGAAGGCTTGGGACACCTGTGTTTGTTTTTGGCAGTAAGTCAGAGGATGACTCTCTGCAACCTCTCCAGGGCTGGTTGATTCTGGCTCCCTCTTCTTCGTAGCCTGTTCTCCTCAGAGGAATAGGTGGGCTTTCCTGAGGAGGAAGCTCAGGAGAGCTGGGAGGTAAGGGCCGGCTCTTGTGCCAAGATGACGACGTGATAGAAGCAGGAGCCTGGGAATTCCTGCACACTTGTGTACAGTGACTGGAGCCTGGGCTCTGCCTTGACCTCCCCACAGGGGTGTTAGTGCCCTGGCAGATAGTGGAGGGCTGGGAGTGGAGACCGAGGGCCACCCGCCCTGGGCCAGCTGTTGATGACAATGAAGAAAAGGAAGTGAGGACACCACAGGGGTGAGGTGGAGGAAGTAGGAGAAGCCCCTCCCCCACAGGTCTGCCCAGTGTCCCCAGTTCACAGCTTCAGCCTACTGGCTGTAAGCCTACCTCTTGACCCTCACAGGTGGGGGCCCAGTGGGGTTCAGGAAGTTAGAAGCTGAGCTTTGGGGAGAGCAAGGAAGCTGGGAGATGGGGAAGGGAATTGGTGGGATGAGGAGTCAATTTAGGCATTTAGCAAGACACTGGTGCTCTCTCTCTCTCTCTCTCTCTCTCTCTCTCTCTCTCTCTCGTCTCTGCTCACCTTCCTGTCCACTCCCTCTCCCTGGATGCCTGAGCATCCATGAAAGCTTGTGGCTAGAGTCTCCACCATAGGCCTCAGGTGGGACAAGACACACGTCCTTATCCTGCGTCTGCCCTTCCTTGCTGTCTCTGGAACCTTATCCATGCTGCCGGGATGCTCTTGAAGGTGGCTCCCACTCCTCTGCAGAACCTTCCCAAACCTGGGGGCTGAGGGCACACTGCTAGCCAAGTGCTATCTCTCACCTCGCAGATGTGTCTTTCTGACTGGGGATTGGGTCCAGTATCTTCAAATTTAGAGAATGTAAAGTCAGAGTTGGGAGTCAGAGGGACCTGCCTAATGAGCAAGCTGGTGCTTAGTGGCGGTGTGACCTTGGCCAAGTTCCTGGGCTTTCCTGAGTCTCAGATTCCCCAACAGCTTTCTTCCTCCTGGGGGAAGATAATAAGGACAATAATCCCTTGTCAGGAAGATGGAGTGAGGCCTGTGAAGCATTTTGCCCACAGCCCCAGTGTTTGGAATCACAGACTTGAGTAGCAGGAGACACCGACTCGGGCTGGGAGCCAGGGAACCCCACCTGATGGTGGAAGTGGCATGGGCTGAGTCTTGCCTCTGTGTAGGTCATCCCTTCCTCTCCTTCCCTTTTCCAGCCAGCCTTTATCTTTTTTAGGAAGTTCCACTCTAGCAATGGAGAGGGTCTAGAAGGAGTTACTCCCAGCACCCAGAATGGGCAGAGTCCCTTGCTTCAGCATGGGTACAGAATGCTGTCTGCCTGGATCCTAGCCAGAGTTGGGAGGGGCCACAGCAGGGCAAGGACTTATCCCACGGAGTCTCACTTGTGGTCCTGTGACTAGCCAGAGATTTCTTGCCCCTCTCTCTTTGCCCTTAACACCGGTTTCCCTCTCAACATTTCCATCCCAGGGGCCACAACTGTCCCTAGTGCTTCTGCAATTCTCAGGAGTCCTTGTCCCCTGCAGCTCCAGGCAAAGGATGTCACCCCACACCCACCCCTATACCATTGCAGGCTGCTTTGGGTGGGTATGGAAAGGATGGAGGAGGCCTGGGTCTGGCACACTCTATCTTTCACACTTTCCTCCTGAGCCGTCCTTCCCAGTGCCTCCCTGGAGAAGCCCTAGGATGCCAGGTTCGAGTGCTTCCATCCCCCTCAAATACTGAGGTAGCTATACTTTCTCATACCTGCAAGCTGGGGCTTGCCCTTGGTAGTGTAGGGGAGACAGAGCTCACCAAGGAGGAGTCCGGAAGACAGCCAAGGAGGCAGGGTGAGTGGGGTGGAGAAGGGCAGTTAAGTCACAGCATGAAGGCTGCGGAGGCACCCCAGCAAGGCCCAGGCTGCACCTCTGTGACAGGTGCCCCTCCCCTGCTACCTTTTTGATGCCTGCAGGTATAAGGATTTTCCCATACCCCTCACCACTCCAATGGCCCATGCCAGCTCAGCACAGAGAAACCATGGCTAGCCTTCCCAAAGTGCCAGGAAATAGCCTGCTCTACCTATGCCTGCTGCCAAACTCAGTGCCCTGGCAGGATGACTTCAAGTTGAAGGAGATTCCCTTCCTTTCTCCCAAGTCCAGGGCCAGAGGGATGGCTACCTGCCCCACCTGTCCTACAATGGCCTTTTCTCCCAGGGGTCCTCTAAGTCTTTCCCACCATGTTGTCCTCGATGCCAGCTTACGCACACTTGCCAGTCCCCACACAGTGCATTACTGGCTGCCCCCTCCAGGCCCTTGCTGAATCCTCACTACCTGCTCAGTCGAAAGTAGAAGGTGGACCATCCCCCTTTCCTGGTGACCTTCCCCAGTCTGTAGGAGGAAGAGGGGGTGCCTGTTCTCATCTGCCCGGTAATTATCTTCCTTTAGTGTGGGGGATGCCCAAGGCCTGGCTTCAGGCTGTGGGAGAGCAGAGGAGGAGCCGGAAGAGCAGCCTACAACAGCTGCCTGCCAGGAGGGACCAGGCTAGTTTACACTTGGAAGTTGGGATGCCAGGACCAGTCCTCTGCTGTCCTCTGCCTCCTGGCTGGGGCCGGCTCACTCCACACTGAGACGGTAGGTTTCAAGACCTTGGGAGGACCCCAGGGGTTTTCTAGGCAGAGGATGTGGGTTTGTCTGTGGGGGTGGCTGCTGGGAGGAGTACATTTTTGCTGAATAGAGAATCTTGGCCTGGGCACAGGGGTCGGGGCGGGGGCTGCTTTTTTACCCTCTTTTGAGGCTATCTCCTGTCCCCAAGGTTGCTCTAACAGGGTGAGGCTGGTATGGCCCAAACCCTCAAGGCTGGGTCCATAAGACTAGGTATGAAGCATGGTCTATCCCCACAGGCCTCTCTTTTGCAGGGACTTTGGGACCCCAACCCTTTACCCCCCCCCCACTCTCTGCTATGTCTCCTCGGCTCAGTTTCTGTTAAGAGGCTTTTGCCCCACCTCTGCCCATCGTGGCTGCTCACAGAGACTCTTCTGGAAGAAACAGAGTGAGGTTTCCCCAGATGAGGTGGGGTTGGTGAAGGACCAGGTTAGGATGTTTCCTTGACATCTTGGCCAGACTGAGGCCCGAGACATTCTCCCCCACCCCCGGTTTCCCTGCCTCTTTTAGAAGTGCCGTGTGTGCACACGCGCGCACACACACACACACACACACACACACATACATGTACACAGCCTGGAAAATTTGATGAGTCTGCAGTGCTAAGTTTCCAGGACCCCATCCAGGCCAGTGGGAGGCTCTGAGGTTAGGGGCTGGACAGAGCTGCGGTGGGGATGGGGCGGGCAGCAGCCCCTGGTGCTGGGCAGCAGGAGCGGGTAGGCAGAGCTGGTTTCTGATGCAGGCCTGGGCTCCTTGCTGAAGCAGGCTAGGAGGCGTCTGCTTCGGCATTCAGAGTCTGTACCTGTCTGTTTTTCTGCACAGCCTCCCTCCGCCCCCCACTCCTGAGCTTGCTGATTTCTGGGCTTCCTTCCCAGGGCTCAGAGGCCCGACTGCTTCGTCCCTTCCCACGGCTGAGTTGGCGCAGGAGCACCTGGGTGAGCTGCACCAGGTGAGCAGCTGGCTCTGGGTGGGTACAGCAGTAGAGTCTGAGTTCTCGTGTCGCAGGCCAGGCCTCAGCTGGGTCTCTGCAGTGCCTGTGAGGGCTGGGGGAGGGCCGGGTAGCCAGGAGGGTACTGCTGACCTACATAGAAGAAATAAGGAGGAGGGGGCAAAGCCCCCAGAAATGTCAATCACTCCCAGAAGCTTCCTAGAAGAGAGGACTTGAACTGGGGATGGGAACACCCTTTGC